TCACTTTAACTGTCCTGGCTCAGTGCTAGGGAATCCTGGAAACTGTACTTTTGTGAGGCATTTAGCCTTCTCTGTCAGAGAGCTCTGGTGCCACAATAAACTACAGTTCCCATGATTCCTTAGCACTGAGCCAGGACAGTTAAAGTGGCCTCAAGCTCCATTATTTCTGGCAGCCTGTAAAGGCCCTCAGTCAGAAGCTCAATTCTGTTATCAGTATAGCAATCACAGTCCTGCTTTGTAATTTGCAGGGCTATTTCCCTTAGTGAATTATTTATATTTCATTCTTTTCTACAGAATCTTTTCTCCCTGCAGTGGATACTTCACAATTCATATAAACCTGTCAATAAATATAGTGACTTCAAAAGACACACAGGGAGATACATATTTTAAGTGTGTGGTTTCTGACAGAAAGCCTTGTTAGACTTTGCTGACACCCTTTACATCAGGGGTAGGCAACCTTTTTGAGCCGGGGGCCGGGTTGCTGTCCCTCAGACAATTGGGGGCCCGAAGCACCATAAATAAATAAATAAATAAATAAATAATTTTTTTAAAAAAAATAAAAATTAAAAAAAAATATATGCATGCATTACTCTCAGCCCCAGAAAAGCCATGGCAAAACCCCTGTGGAGATTTTGCCAAGAAAACCCCAAGAACAAGTAATAACAACAATAATGAATATTATCATGGCAAGTGGCGGTGGCGGCGGTGGTAGGACCGGCCTGGGGCCTGTCCAAAGGCCTCGGGATGCCGCATCCGGCCCCCGGGCCTGAGGTTGCCTACCCCTGCTTTACATCATGTCCAACATTCTTCTGCCACGGCACAGTTCAAGGGAAGACAGGAAACATCAGACAAGCTGCCATTACCAATCTTCTCGTTATAGGAAGCTTGAATTGTTTCTGCAGAGAATAAGGAATATAGAACATGAACTGATGATTGCCCTGAGCAGTTTCCTATAAGCTAGTTTCCAAGCTGGCATCTGGAGGTGTAATAGCTGACATCAAAATTATAAGAGAGGGACAAGATAAAATAGAACAGCAACCTGCCACACAAAAACAACACAAGCTATGATACCATGGTAATATCTTAAACTGTTACTTTTGTGTGACATTCAGCTAAACCTACCAAGAAGGAAAATTTACTTTTTATAGCCTTTACTCATGGATTTAAAACAGCATTAGAGATTTACACATAAGCATTTAACTTGAACAACGAAGATGCTCACTTTGTAAGGGTATAAAGAAAGTAGCTAAATATATTTATTGCAGATATATGAATAATATGCCAAATTCCTATTATTTCAGACAGTCAACATAAACCTCTTTAAATCAGAATTCGCTGTAATATACTCAGAAAAATGAGGATACACTTGTCCCTCTACATTGTCTGGGGTTAGGGGCACAGGACCCCCATGAATGTGGAAAAACAGCAAATAACAAAAACACTATGCTTTTACCTGAGAACACCTCTAGGAATCTCTGGGTCTGCCAGAGATTAACTATAGAATTGCACTGGAGGAGCTACAAATGCTTAGTGGAGTGTTCTCTCTAGGAATCTCTAGGCCCTTCCATACAACTTTTGGTTAAGGTTGACCGTAGAGTTGTGCTGGAGGACCTAGATAGTCCTAGAGAGAACATATTAATAACATCTATGAATAATCAAAATCTGCAAGAGTCAAAGCCACAGATGTGGAGGGATGAGTGTATATGTTTCTTGAATCTTAGAAAATCAATTGATTACTTTAAAAAAAATACATATGCCTGGCTGCGTTTAGCAAGCAATGACTGTAGCACACAACAGCAATAGCAATAGCAAGTGCATTTCTATACCACTGATCAGTGCACTTAAGCACTCCTTAGGCGGTTCACAATGTGCAAGCTAATTGCCCACAACAATCTGGGTACTAATTTTAGTGACCTCAGAAGGATGCAAGGCTGAGTCGACCCTGAGCCCCTGGCTGGTATTGAACTTGCAACCTTATGGTTTGTGAGTGAATGGCTGCAGTACAGGCATTTAACTCCTGTCACATTCATCCATGTGTATGTATGCTTATCTCTTTTAATGCCTTGAAGAGAGACAGTACAAACACAGCAAGCTTCATTCTAAAGCTCCAAGTCCAGAAGGAAAATGAACTACAGAAGCATATTGGAAGACAAAAGGAGCAGTTTGGAGAGAGCTAAGGGAGCTGGTGGCTCAGTGGCTAAAATGCCAGTACTGCAACCACAAGGTTGTGAGTTCAATTCCAGGGGCTCCAAGGTTGACTTAGCCTTCCATCCTTTCATAGGTCAGTATAATGAGTACCCAGCTTGTAGGGCTCAATTAGCTTAGAGACTATAAACCTCTTAGAGAGTTCTAAGTTAACTGATACGTGGTATAGGAATATACATGCTATTTCTATCCTAGTATTGGGACGGATATTTAACTTGGTTTCATAAGAGAAATGCAACTGGTAATGGAAGAAGCAGAAGTAGCAAGTGGATCACCCATCCCAAATGGCCCTTGTCAAAATATCTGAATTAATACACAGGCTTCCTCCATTTTTGACACTTCACTTTCCAACAACTCATTCATTCAACGCTTGCAAATTACAGTCGCCCCTCCATTCTCACGGACTTGAGATCCGCAGTTTTGAATATTCATGGAGGGACAACCTCTGTTAAAATCAATAGGCTGTGCCCCTGCACCCCAATCAAGCCTATGGGGCTTGAATAATGGCAAGTCTCCATTTTCATGGGGAGGGGGGTCCAAAACAGATCCACTGCGAAAACGGAGGGCCAACTGTATAAACACATTCCATTAATATGACAGAAATTCTGCTCTTCCATCAGTTCTTCTTGCCAAGCTCACCTGGGATTGCTCACACATTGTGTGTGTGTGTGTGTGTGTGTGTGTGTGTGTGTCTGTGTGGTGTTAATTTATCTTTTGTATGTATTCAAAAGTGACATATAGTATGTTATGTACATTTTCAGTGGCCAAAATGCATTTGCAAAATAAAAAAAGGCTGGGTTCCACTTTTCAACCAAATCCACTTTCTGACAGCCCCAGTCCCTAATCCATGAGTAAGTGGGGACTTCCCATACTACAGTATCTAAGCATCACAGAGGATTGTTTTCACTTTGTGCAAGGCGATCAACAAATACTTTTAATAAATATATGCAGCATTTAGTCTTCTCTAACATATCTCTTCAACTGTTACTGATGCATTAAATGTGACCCATTTAACTGGTCAGCTAGTTCAAACAGCTGGATCATGTGAAAGAGTCAAAACAAGCTATCTTTATGGGTGCCAAATTATAACAGCAATATTTTTAAAAGTACTCTTGAAGTTGGTGTTGGAATCACGTCAGCTTTTTGAGAGGATGAATACTGAAATCAAAATGGGAATCTTGGACAAGAGGAAGTTTCTGTTGTTGTTGACCATCACTACCTGCTGGAATTAAAATTTGCTGGGCCTCTGCAATTGTGTGTGTGTGTGATTAAGATGGTTTGCCCTAAAGGAAAATTAATGAGGACAGCTCTTGGAATTTTCCTAAACCTGGTTGATCTCTGGAATGGAGACATTGCCTGGGGTTTGGACACAATTACTCCTGAGCATAGTGTAGCCAAGCTGCCCCTTGGTTTTCTATGCAGTGGAATGAGAGAACTGACAACTAGATTGGAATTGGTAGAAAACTCTGAATGAGTCCAACCTAGGACTGCCATATTCCACCCCCCCTACTTTGAGTATCTAATTTGCATATTATGCAATTTATTACACTTATGTGTTTTATTAATTTCCATTCTAATTATGAAAATTTGACACATCAATAGTTGCATTTTTCTATTATTATTTTTCAGCCTCAATATTTTTATAGTAACTACTCTACTGGACCAGTATAATATCTAAAGTGTCAAACTGGGAACAAGGAGACCCAGAGCCATCATTATTTCTCAGCAAATCTACCTTACAAGGTTTTTGTGGGGATTAACAGCAAGACAGGAGCCACGTAAAGCAGCTGTGTACATTCCTGCTGATTATAATACAGTCAATCCTCTATATCCACAATTCAACTATCCATGGCATGGATATATTTTTTTTAATTCAAAAAGGAAAACTTGCCATTTTATATAAGGAACACCATTTTACTACACCACAGTATATAATGGGACTTGAGCATCCACAGATGTTGCTATCCATGGGCGGGGAGTCCTGGAACCAAAACCCAGTGGATACCAAGGGCCCGCTGTAATGACATTTTGTTATATGCAGACACTTCTAATGCTATTATGTTTTCATCAAATCACTATAATATTTTTTTCTATCCATTTTTTAAAAGTACAGATCCAGGAAATTCAGAGGAAGCTCCTGATGTCATCTCACTACAGGGGAAAATGAAGAAGAAAGTTAAGAGCAAACCTAGAAACCTCACCTCCTTCCTTTGTATTCTACTTCACGTTATACCTACTTCTTCTGCTCCTTGCACACTCCCTCACTTCATTCCTTCATAATGTGTTTAGTCCGCAGCTGCACCACTCACCTTTGCTCCCTTCCCCCATGTTTCTTACATACTAGCACTTCCACCTCTCACTTTCCCTACCTCCATCTCCCACTTTGCTCTCCATCATCTCCATGCCTCACACTTCCTTCCCCTGCCTCATGCTGCCAAACACCCCTTCTTTTGCATCCACTTGATCCACCTTCTCCCTCTTTTCCCCCACACCTTGCTTCACTTTGCCCCTGTGCCATCTTTTTCTTGCAGCCATCACTGTACTTTCAACCCATTCTTCCACTGCCACAGATGCCAAAGACAGTAGTGCTATAAGTGCTGTAAGATAAAGAGCAGAGGGGTAAAAATGAAAAGATATAAAAGCAAGGTGAGGAGACATGGTAGCAGGGGTAGTGGGAATGGGGGAAAAGGCAAAGATAGGGCTGAGAGACGATTGCAAAAAAACTCCTACTACCACATCAGGTAATGGACCCATAATTACCCTGAAAAACACAATCTGTGTTTTTTTTCTGGACATCTAGTGTGGCGTAGTGGTTTGAGCATTGGACTCTATGACTCTAGAGAACAGGGTTCGAATCCCTGCTCAGCCATGAAACCCAATAGGTGGCCTTGGGCAAATCACATGCTCTCAGCCTCAGGGGAAGACAATGGCAAACCCCCTAGAAGAAACTTGCCAAGAAAACCTTGTGATAGGTCTCCCTTAGGGTTGCCGTAAGTGGGAAATAACCTGAATAACAACAACAACAACAACAACAATAACAACAACACATATTGCTATTTCAAACAAGTAATAAAAGCAAACTCCATACAGCCTTAAATACTAATCACAGTTTTACAGCTCTCTTCCCCTGCCTTTTTCATCCCTCCTCCTTCACTCCAATGGCTCAACTGCCTTATAAGAGCTCTGCAAACAGACTGCTGCTAGACTTTCCTCCAGAATTGCAACACTGATCCAAGAACTGAGATAGGACAGGTCACAAATGTCAATCATACTTATGAGACTTCCATCAATGGCTTAACACACTCAAAACTACATGCACATGTCAAACCAGGGGTAGGCTTGTTTCTCACTAAAAACTGAAGAGAAGAGTGACTATACATTTTGCCTTGTAACTTTAATGCTTTAAGAGTTAAGGACTTTTATTTATTTATTTATTTATTTATTTATTTAAAAAAGAAAGCTTGGAATCCTTCAGGATTATGCACACTGGTTGGTATGCTTAGAAACCATGTGAAACCTGGTCAACTGGATGGCCGCCGCCGCCCCCCGCCATGATGATATTGATTATTGTTGTTATTACTTGTTCTTGGGGTTTTCTTGGCAAAATCTCCACAGGGATTTTGCCATGGCTTTTCTGGGGCTGAGAGAGTGTGCATGCATATTTATTTATTTATTTATTTATTTATTTATTTTTATTTTATTGTGTTTCGGCCCCCCAATTGTCTGAGGGACAGCAACCCGGCCCCCGGCTCAAAAAGGTTGCCTACCCCTGCTATAGAAGAACAGTTATTTGATGCATATACATTAAAAAAACAAGAAATAAAACAGAAAATAAAGTTCAACTTTCACATATGCAGTGATGCAAGACAGTGTACTTTTTTCTGCAGAAAGTTTTCATTTCTAAAAATTATTAGTTCACAAAATTCATTAGGAACAATGAATCAGTGCCAATATATCAGGCAAGCTTGGCAGTTTCAAATTTGCCTGAGCCAAGAAATTCATTTCTCTATTCTTAAAGTGGATTTAAATTAAAACTCGGATTTGATTTACTTAGCGCTCATTCTGTCTTGCTGCAACAGAAGTGTTATGAAATTAATATTTTAGTAGTTATTCCTAGAAAGGGTTTATTTGTGAGTACATTTTGTTTTACAGATACATGCAGAAATAAAACCACAAATATACACTAAAACCCAAGCCAGTATCGAGATATGAATTCATCTTTCAGCTGTGCAATTAAATCAAAACTGAATATAAAACTAATTTTTATTTCACTTTGAGCAAACATATGGTGCAATGTTTCATCTCTTCAGCATGAGAATTTTATATCCTCTCAACAGCCCTGTGATCCTCTAATCACTACAAAGTACACTTGCTGGATGCCAGTATGCAAGATATATGCAAGATAGGAATCTACTGCCTAGGTGAGAACATGGAAAACTAAAGGGTTTAAAAAACAACAACAACAAGAAATGAAGCTTCTGCACATATTGAAGGTTAGTAAGCAGGAAGGAGCAGGACGATCACAGAAAAACAAATACTAGCTTCACAGTGAATTCCCCTCTTATTCTGAACTATGTAGCTGACATTTTGCTTAGCCTCTATTCCTGCACTATTTTCTATAACCACTCATTCTGTCTTGCTGCAGCAGAAGGAATGATGAGGAATCAGAACTGATTTCATTGGCTTCATGGAGGAAAAAAACCAACTACTATTCTCTATAAGAATGGGAGTCAATATCTTGTCAATTAACTGAAAATCACTCTGAGATAGATTAAGAGTTCCCAAATGTTTTATGCTCTGCCATGATTCACATTATATGACAGAATTTGGCAACTGTACAAACCCAGTCAGATTACAATATTCTTAACTGTCCACACTATAAAAGCCTAAAGTGCTACTATAAAAGAAAACTGTTCCACAAAACAATGAATTCCATCAAAACAAATATACAATTTGACTTTATTTTCAGCAATACAGAGGATAATGTTTTAGATCTGACAGTTAAAAAAGAAGAGGACCATCTTATTACCTCCCTATACAGAAATCCCACTGATGCCAACACCTATCGCAGATTTGACAGCTCACATCCCAGAGCAATGAGACACATCTTGCCCTATGGCCAATTCCTCAGGTTAAAACGGAAGAGTTCAAAAATGAGTTCTACATGTTGTCAAAACAACCCATTGAAAGAGGGTATCCACAAAATGTGATTTCAAAGGGATTTTTACCAAGGCAGCTGGCAGAGCCCATTTAGAATCATTACAAAAACAGCACAGACCACAGACCAACCATCTTGATTGCTCTTTCACCTTCAATCATATTACAAAAAATATACAGAACACTGATTTATAACAGAAACAACAACACTGATTTATAACAGAAAATATCCCAGGATGTAAGGAAAAGCCACAGATCGCCTTTCAAAGAACAAGAAACATTAGAGATATTGCATTAAATACTGCTTTCAGAGAATCTAAACAAACATTTTAAAAAATACTATAATGGAAGCAACTAGTTTTACAAGACACCACCCCTGCAGCCACTACATATACTGCAAACATATATCCAAAATGACTGAATGTATAAATCATAATGATCAACAGACATATACTTGAACCCATTTAGTACTTGTGGTAGCATTTTTGTAATATATGCCATTCGGTGCTAATGTGTGTGTGAGTGAGTGAGAGAGGGAGAGAGAGAATATGTGTATGGTAAGACCCCTGAAAAAATAATAGGGCGATATCTTTCCAATGTAAGAAACAGAAGAACAGGTACTCCTTTTATCAATCATTTTGTGGAATTTCAACACTCTGCATCAGATTTCAGGTTTTGGGTACTGGAAAGGACATTTAACAATGATGAAAAGGATTGGATTAGAAGGGAGATGGAATGGATGTTGAAGCAGAAACCTCTTGACCAGGGGTAGGCAACCTTTTTGAGCCGGGGACCGAGTTGCTGTCCCTCAGACAATTGGGGGGCCGAAGCACCATAATTAATTAATTAATTAATTAAAAAAATTAAAATTTAAAAAAATATGCATGGACGCTCTCTCAGCCCCAGAAAAGCCATGGCAAAACCCCTGTGGAGATTTTGCCAAGAAAACCCCAAGAACAAGTAATAACAACAATAATCAATATCATCATGGTAGGCCACATCCGCCCCCCTGAGGCCTTAGGTTGCCTACCCCTGCTCTTGACTGACACCCAATGCTGACAATAAAGATTTGGATCTTTTTCAGTGATATAAGGTCATCCCACCCCACACAACTAAAACATTTTTTTAAAAAAAGGATGGTAAATTTTCAGTTAGATTGCATCAGATGTCTTCAAAATTGATTACACCACAGTGTCTCCACCATCTCTTATTTCTGACCATGTGTCAAAAGGTATGATATAAATAATAAAAAAATTCTTAAGATTCTTTTCTTCTATTGCTTTTTGGTCAAGGTACTAGCGAGAGTGTATTTCTAATTCCAGAAAATGTTTCTGGTGTTGAATTAATGGTATGTATGTAATCTAATACTAAATGAATACAATTTATTCTATTTCTATTAATGCGTTCTCCTTTTGTAAAAGATTTTAAGCTAATATGTGTATTTGTGATTATTTTTAATGTAGCTCCTGAAGAAGGCCAGCCAGTTTATGTACAGACCAAAATGCAAATAATAAGCATGTGGAGACCAGTCTCCTTTTTCTGCTGCTTCATAATATACTCGTCCCTCCATATTTGATCATTCATGAATTTTATTAAAATGTTCTCTCTAGGAATCTCTAGGTCCTCCAATGCAACTCTGTGGTCAGCTTTAACCAAAAGTCGCACTGAAGGACCTACAGATTCCTGGAGGGAACACTCCACTAGGCATTTGTAGCTCCTCTAGTGCAATTCTATGGTCAATGTTTGGCAGGTGTTGACTACAGAGTTGTACTGGAGGACCCAGAGATTCCTAGAGAGGTGTTCTCTCCAGTAAATACATACTGTTTTTGTTATTTATGGTTTTTCCACATTCACAGGGGTCCTGTGTCCCTAACCCTAGCAAATGGGGAGAGACGAGTGTATGTGCGTTTCAGTTCCTGCTCCTATTAGTTTAAGAATCTATTCCATAGAATACAGAAGCTATCAAATGAGGCACTATACTGATGGAAAGCATCCATTAATGTACTGGGGGAAAGAAAAGTTTAACCTATTGCTCCTCCTCCTGCAGGCCTTCCACACCGGCTCTCAAAACAAAATGGAAAGGACTGAAGCAGGAGGTTGAAAGCTGAATATTACCCCATTCTATACATGGATGCTTTCTCTCAACATAGGTATATGAACTAGATCTCTCCACTAGGATATATGAAGTCAGTAGAGCAGTCATAAAGAAACTATATAATGGTCAAATCTGTAGAAGATTTGATTATTCCTGGTCTAAGTACAGGACAACACATTACTCAGAACAAGTTGATTGTTATGCCATGGAAAACCTTTACCAGTAACAGCAGCAGATGACTACAGTGGTACTAGACTTGTAACAATTTACAAGTACTAACGAGCCTTTGGGGCTGTGGAAAACAATTGAAAAGTTGAATCAACATCAGTCATTTAATATTCCTTCTTGATTTCGCAATGTGCCTCTCCATAAAACTTTAGGAGACAACGGAGGCTAGGTATATACCATATTTCAAACAAATTTTCATTTTGGATAACCTTACTGTTATAATAAAACACCTGATTATTTTAAAACAAGTACCTTTCTACAAGCAGGACAAAGCCCATTCTCATCTGTGCGAATACGATGCCAGCAGAAGCGACAGATCTGGTAACCACAGGTGCAAGGGAAGAAGTTTATGTCATCAATCTCCAGAGGCTCCATGCAAAGGGGGCAT